TTCTCCTGTTTTAGCTTCTCTGCACTGGCTCCCTGTAAAATCCAGAACTGAATTTAAAATCCTACTGTTAACTTATAAAGCTCTAAATGGTCAAGCTCCGTCATATCTTAGAGAGCTCATAGTGCCTTATTATCCCACCAGAACTCTGCGCTCTGAGAACGCAGGGTTACTCGTGCTCCCTAAAGTCTCCAAAAGCAGATCAGGAGCCAGAGCCTTCAGCTATCAGGCTCCTCTCCTGTGGAATCATCTTCCTGTTGCAGTCCGGGAGGCAGACACCGTCTCCACATTTAAGACTAGACTTAAGACTTTCCTCTTTGATAAAGCTTATAGTTAGGGCTGGCTCAGGCTTGCCCTGTACCAGCCCCTAGTTAGGCTGACTTAGGCCTAGTCTGCCAGAGGACCTCCTATAATCCACCGGGCACCTTCTCTCTCTCTCTCTCTCCTCCAACTCGGCTTCTTCTCCGGAGCCTTTGTGCTCCACTGTCTCGCAGGTTAACTTATATCTCAGCGGTGCCTGGATAGTGTGACGTGTGTGGTTGTGCTGCTGCTGTGGTCTTGCCAGATGCCTCCTGCTGCTGCTGTTATCATTAGTCATACTTCTACTGTTATTATACACATATGATTATTGTCACATAATCAGATATTAATATATACTTTCAACATATTGTATCACAATAGCCAGAATTATGATATCATTACTTTCATTAATGCAGTGCTGTGCTGTTTGGGCTGAGACAGCCATGTGTAAGTAAGGTAAAGGAGGTTATTGGGTTGGTGTGGGGAGCAGTGAGACCTGGCATTAGGGGAGTGTCTCTGGGATGCCAGAGATCACTGTCCAGCCTCCTGGAGGTGTCGTGGGACCAACTATACGAAACACTGGTGAAAGGAGGTTCCCACCCGATGACCCCAAAGACATGTTAGTTATCAGCGCTCACTGGTCTGTTTAGTTAAGCCTTGCCATAATAGCTTATCATAGGGCTTAGGAGGTTATTCACTGAGTTCTTGTGTTTATTTGAATTGTTAAAACAAAACTCACAACTTTGGTTAATTTTTATGAAAAAACATTCTTATTCTTTTGATCAGTGGACCCTTACAGACTAAAGGAATATGAATAACTTACAGGGTTATCCAGGAATGCACACATATTCTGACTTTATGACAGCTTCAGAGGAAGGGAGTCACCACTTCTTTTTCTTAATGGCAGTAAATCTGAATGAATCACAATACAGTTGTCTCTGGTGCTCATGGTTTCAGTAAAATGAACGGAATGATCTAACTGTGGAGAATCTAACTGAGCTAACGATGTGTAGCATCTCCATATTGACAAAAATTGTATATTTTTATCTGTATGTGCGAGCTATCTAACATTAGCTCAAGTGGGAAGTCAAAAACCCGCTTTTGTACATCCAAAGAACTTCTAACACAGAACTGCTTGCTAACCAGACCAGGCCTCTAATTGAGACAGGCCTTTGTTTGTCTCTACAAAACAGTTAAATAAAAAAGCAAACAAAAATCAGAACAATAGAAAATAAGAAACATAAAAGAGAAAAAATTGCAGCACAACAGATGATGAAGTCAGTGAAGGTGTCGGGCTCAAATCAATCATGTGCCAATGACAAGAGGTGGGCCTTCAGCGGCAGAGTGTCTGTACTCTCAGCAGTTTTATACCAATTGGTAAGCTGTTTCAGAGTTTAGGGCGAGCCACTGCGAAGGCTTGGTTACCAGTGTTTTTGTGTCTACTGCTCGGAGCATCTGATCGGTTGACCTTAGTGTTCTAACTTGAGCATTAAGATACAGTAGTTCTGCTGGATAAGATCAGACCAGACCTTAAGAACAAGTAATAAACTCTTAAAATCAATCCTAAAACAGACAGGGAGCCAGTGGAGGGAGGCCAGTACTGGTGTTACGTGGTCCTATTTTCTTTTAATAGTTATAAGACGAGCAGTAGTGTGTGCTAACTGCAGATGACAAAGTGGCGACTGATCTACACCCACATACAAAGAATTGCAATAGTCTAGCTGAGAGGTAATAAAAGAATGAATAACTTTCGAGATCTTTGGTGGAGAGACAGATGGGCCTTTACTTTGGCTAAAAGTCTAGAAAAAACTAGACATCAGGGCAAGGTTGTTCAAATGTTGTAATCGAGACAAAAATGTTTTGGTTTTGGTAATACTTTTTTGTTTTTCTGCCATGGATCACGTAATCCAACTCACTTTTGTCCCGGTTGTTCAAAAAAACTGGATAGGATCACTCTCAGATTACCAGGACTTAAAGATCCTTAATTAATTATATTGTGTTTGATATTAACAGATATTTTGTTGAATATTTAATTAGCAAGAAATTCATTTTTTTATCCACAGCCATGTTTGCCTCACCCACTTTGTCATGATACGGATGCAATAATTCAAGTTGAAAATATTAATACATTTTTCAAATATTCATGACAACAACAGGTAGAACAGGGAGCATGGGTAAATTATTCATTTTTATTTCAACATTCAAAAGAAATGTTACACATTTTCTGCACTGTTTGTCTTTATGCCTTCAACCCACTGGGCCTAACTTGTAACTGAGGAAGAAACTAGAAAATGACCAGCAGATGGCAGCAAACAATAAGAACATATGCATAGATTTAAGTTTTAATGATTTAATTTTTATCTACTGTCATTTAACGTTCTTAATTCATATCCTTCTTTTAAATTAATGTCTTGACTTTACTAGACAGCTCACAGTTTATTGTATATTTCATTTCTTTATGATTTTAATAAATAAAAAACTCAAGTTCTTTTTCATTTTCTCCCTGTAATCCAGTCTGAATCCAGCCTTCTGCTGGGATCAGGGTAATCCTGATATTGTGGATCACAGTAATCCTTATCCTATTCAAATGTTTTGAGCAACACAAACTGGAGGTTTGATCTGTATAAAAAACTGGATTGAATTACCTGATCTTATCTGATCACAAAATCCTGTTTTTCCTTTTAAACAACAGGGCCCTGAACTAATTTGTTTTTCAAATTTGAGGGAGGTGTTAAAAATTGTTAAGTAAGATCATTGCCGTGGTTGAAAGAGACAAGCATTGACTACTGGAAGGAAATTAAGAAACAAAGAGTGGCCTCCTATACCCGCACTACTTTTACATATGCTCCTGACAGTCAGTCATACATCACATGGCCATTAGAGGTCCCTGTCAGGTAAATGTAAATTTACCATGGGCTTTTAATGAACAAATGACCAATCTAGTCCTTCTTCTGGTGATGAAAGGCTCCCTTCTGTTAAAGAAATGCTCAGTCAGAAATGCTATTTTACAGCTCATCCTGTCACTGTTTTATAATTCGTCAGAAAAACTTACTGCAGCGGTTTAAGATCTATAAAGAGATGAGCGAATCCTCTTTTGTGTTTATGTTTCGTAATGGTCTGACTTGAATTTTATTTCAGTTTCTTCTCTCTGGTCTTCTGTCTCCTCCAGTTGTTTTTTGATTTGCTCCCTGAGATTATCTAACACTTTCTTCTTCTCTGTAACCATGGTTACACCACAAAATATTGACCTTAAAAATACGTCTGTTTCCTGGTTACGTTTCTCAAGTTCTTTCTTTGCTGTATCAAGATTTGTATTCTTATATAGGCGCTGTTTTTCATCCCGTTTCTCTTCTGAGTCGTTTTTATCATTATTTACTCCTTTCTGTTTAATTTTCTCTACCCCTGACATAATCTCATCCCTTTGAATCTCTGTATCATGCAGTTGTAATGCCAAGTGATGCATCTGGTCATACAGATTATTTTTGTGATCCACTAAGAATTTATGCAGCCCTTCAACATCTTTGCATTCTTCTTCAACTTCCTTTAATTTTACATCAAGCTTTTCCTGATCCAAATCCTTGACTGTCGTGCTCTCAGCCATGACTGGAAGTGTTTCTCTTTTTTCCACATTAAGCGACTGAAGTTCTGTGTCGTTACCTAAAGCTGATGTTGTTGCTTTTGTTTTTTTTCTCATAAAGTTGTTGCCTGTTGTCAAACAAAAACAGAAAGTGTAAAATTGAGGAGTACAGACAGATAGTGATGGCCAAATGAGGCCTGATGAACCACTGTCTTTATTTTCTGAAGCCACTAGATGGCATTGTCTGTTCAACAAAGGTTTGAAAGCACATTTCACTGCCATTCCTTCAGCCTTAATTGTTAAACAAAGAGCGCCATCTGGTGGGTTCAGGAAATTAAGAAAAGTGTTTCATGAGGCTTCATTTGGCCATCACTACAGAGTATGCTGATGAATTACACTTACTATTTTGTTTCTCTCTCCATTTCCATACAACACAGACAAGCGCAAGAATAACAATGGAGACCACAGCCAAGCCGATGGCGACAGGAGCAGCAGAACTACACACAGCATTGAAGACATCATCTGTAATGATAAAACAAAGGAAATCAACAACTCAACCACAGATATTTGACACTAAAACAGTGAGCATATGAATACAGAACTCATTATCTACCTGGAACCTGGATGTGTGTCTCTCTGGTCTGGTTGATGTTCCTCTGTTGGACTCTACAGGTGAAGCTGTTGCTGTGTCTCTTCTCCACAGTCACTCTGCTGCTGACAGTATAGAGGTCATCAGGACCTCTGACTGTCTCTGTAGGTCCAGCAGAGAGGAGCTTTCCCTCACCGTCCAGCCACAACACCTCAGGCTCTGGATACCAGCCTGCAGACTCACACTGTAACACTGCTCCTCTGAGGTCATTGTCAGTCCTCATAAAGCTAACAGTGAGTGA